GTTATTAACATCTAACATCGGTATGGTACATTTGTTACGATTGATGAAGCAATATTGATACATTATTATTAACTAAAGTCCACAGTTTACATTAGAATCCATTCTTTGTGTTGTCCTGTTCGTTGGTTTTGACAGATGCATAATGTCATGTATCCACCATTAATTACAGTATCCAGAATAGTTTCACCACCCTAAGAATTCCCTGTGTTTCACTTAGCCATCCCTTCCCCTCCGCCAGCAACCAATGATCTTTTTACTGTCCCTGTATATCTCTATGTCGCACTAAGCACACATTAACATATTACAACGATCCTAAGAGTTAGGTGTGATTTTACCAATGGAGAGATGAGATCCAGAGAGATTCAGTGACTGGGTGAAGGTCACACAGCTCATAAGTGGCAAAACTGGGATAGGCAGGCTGACCTCAGAGTCTGTGCTCTTGGCTACCACATTGTGCTGCTAGGTGAGGGGTTCAGACCCTAAGGGCTTATTGAGTGGCCATACAGGTCAGGTGAGTCTTGAGACATGAGTAGGAATTAGATGGAGAAGAGGATGTACTAGGTAGGAGAATCTGTGGGTGGATGTATGCTGCTATCAAACAAACTGGAAAGGCAGTTTAGGACTAAATAGTGAGAGCATTCAGATTCCAGAAGTGGGGCCAACCACCTCTAGAGGCAGCCTATTTCCATCTTCACATGGCCAGAGTCATTTGAAAGGTTTTTCCCAGTATTGTGACCCAATCTGCTTCCATGTAGTTATTATTGTTTTGTCTGGACAAATGTCATTCCTTTTCCATAGACTTCATTTTAATATATTTAAATATGGGTCTCATTTCTCCATCATTATTTTATAGCATCATCTCCTATAACTTAGCCAAAAGCTTTCACTTTCCTCCCAGACTCATCTTAGAGGTGTTTTTTTTTCCTTAAAGGAATAAAAGACAAAGCACCTTTAACATAAGACTTGAAGAAAGCAGAAACTGTTTAGCCAATTTAATAGGAAATGTACTACAGTGATAAGGGTGATTTTCCAGGTGTAAGTTTATAGTCCTACTTAGTAGTAATAATATAAATAGTTAGTGTTTACTGCATGTTCATCATGTGCCTAGTGCTCAACATGCTTCATCTCATTTAATCCTCACAGGGGTCTTTGAGAAGGTCTTTGGTTATTGTCTTAGTCCATTTTCTATTGCTTATAATAAGATACCTGAAACGTATTTTATTTTTTACAGTTATGGAGGCTGAGAAGTCGAAGGTTGAGGGGCTGTATCTAGTGAGGCCATCACGTTGGTGGGAACTCTGTAGGTCTCGAGGCAATGCAGGATATCACATGGCAAGGTGGCTAATCATGCTACCTCAGCTCGCTCTCTCTTTTTTTTTTTTTCCTTTTGTAAGAAACAGGATCTCACTATGTTGCCCAGACTGGCCTTAAACTCTCAAACTCCTGGGCTCAAGTGATCCTCCCACTTCAGCCTCCAGAGTAGCTGGGTCCATGGGTGTATACCACCATGCCCAGCTTCTCTTCCTCTTATAAAGCCACCATTCCCACTCCCATGATAACCTGTTAATCCATTAATGAATGAATCAATCCATTCATGAGAGCTCAGCCCTCATGGCCCAGTAACCTCTTAAAGGCCCTACCTCTCAATACTGCCACATTGGAGATTAAATTTCAGCATGAGTTTTGGAGGGGACAAATATTTAAACCCTAGCAGTTATTTCCATTTTTACACAGAAGGAAACTAAGACTCTAAGAAATTAAATCACTTGCCTGACATCAACAACTGGTAAGTGGTAGAACTTGGATTTGAATCCAGGTGTGGCTGAGCCCAGGGCCCACCCTTGGACCATCCTGTACAGCTTACAGCACATTGCCCAGGGCCTTCATGCGCTGCCTACCTGTGAGAGGAAGCCTTAGCCTGATTAAGCATGCAGCTTAATCCCCGAGGGAAAAAAATGAACTTTCCAGCTTTCATAGAAGTATTAGGGGGCAGAGGGGGAGATGAAAGCCTGGAAGGAAAGCTAGCCCTGGAGTTCCCTCTGAAAAGACCATCAGTTTGAGAAAAGCAACCGTGGGAGGAGCCTTTGGACACACAGAACCCACTGGATTAGGCAGCTGGGAGAGAGCCAAGTAGTAGGGTACAAAGCTAGCTACATTGTCAGCACTGAATGTCAAACAGTGCAGTGACCTCATGTCAGAGCACAAACAAAACATCACTCAGTACAAAAATCCCTAAACACTGAGGGTTTTTTGTCCTCTTGGATGACCATTGTAATTCAGGTCCTTGGAAATCTGCCAGATTACAGTGGCCATAAATGTGATTTTTGTCTTTTTTTCAGCAGCAAGCATCTAAAGTTGAGAAGGTGTTTTTTACCACTGCAGTACCAGTAGCCAGTAGCACAGGTATGTAATTCCATGTTAGTCTTAAGAGAAAGTCAATTTTCTGGGCCCCTTGAGGCACAGTTAATTATTGTTTTGCCTCAGTTTTTAAAACTTTAAAAATCGTTAAACAGCCTCAATTAAATTCATCACATTTTATTGTTTATTAGAGTATTTCATTTTCTCACAACTATTAGAAGGTAATGTACTTCTGGCATATATACCATGTTTAACATTCCTTAAGTAGTAATAGTTTTTTACCTTTCAGATACAACTTGTAAATGCAGAAAAAAGTTAGAATCACAGTTAATGCTAAAGAGGGCAGTTGTTAATTCACTGGACTCTTTTCTAATTACAGTAATGAAGAAATAGTATCTGGGTCAGAGACTCTTATAGAGCTGAAAGTTCCCTTTATTCAAACTCTTGCTTTTATGGATTAAGAAACTGAGACCCAGAAAAATTAAATGACTGCCCCAAAGTCATAAATGAATTTGTGGTAGAGCCAAAGCACTAGTTCCCAGGCCTCCCAATTCCCACTCTGTTCTCCTGTCTGTTAGTCTTTAGCTCTGTTGAGACAGAGAAAGCCTGGCTGAATTCAGCATGCATGTGCACAACACACATGTGAGAGAGAGAACGAATATGAATGAGAATGTGCGTGCATACGAGGAGATTGACACCTACTGTGTGTCAGACACTGGGGCTGCAAAGATAAATGAGATGTCCTAAAGGAGCTCAGTCTCTCAGGCAAGCAGAACTAAGCCAGTCCCGTACAGCACGGAGAGAGGCATGGAAGGAAGACAGCAGCACTGTGCACGTGTGCCAGGTAGCTTGGTGCCGGCTTCACCTGGGCTAGCCCTCTGCATAGGCCTACAGAGAGGGAGGGAGTGAGCTGGGGCTTGAAAGATGAGTTAAGTTCTCCAGAAGAAGAGCAGCATCTGGGGATTTTAGGCATAAGGAAGAGCCCATAGGCCCAGAGGTAAAGAACATGTCAGGAAAAGGTGGGCGTCCACTGTGGCTACATGGAGGGTACAGTAGAAAATGGCTGGAAATGAAGCTGCAAATACAGGGTCATCTCAATTGTGTGTGTAGCTTTCTAAAGAAGGGGGGCTTTGTCATATAGGGCTGGGGAGTGTCAGAAGCTTTTAACCTTAGAGGGAACGTGGTCCAGTTTAAAGCTGAACAAAGCCTAGAGCATGGCATCCATCCTTCCCACTGTTCCTGCCTCCTGGCACTCAGCTCTCAGCTGTCTACATACCCCTGCCCCTCACACCCCCACCCTGCAGCTACTTGAAGAGCAGTCTCTCTTGCCTCTCTCGCAGGGAGCTCTGTACAGCAGATTGGCCTCAGTGTTCCTGTGATCATCATCAAACAAGAGGAGGCATGTCAGTGTCAGTGTGCATGCCGGGACTCTGCAAAGGAGCGGGCGTCTGGCAGGAGAAAGGGCTGTTCTTCCCCACCCCCTCCAGAGCCGAGCCCCCAGGCTCCTAACAGGCCCAGCCTGCAACTACCACCGCAGACTTTTTCCTCACCTCCTGTCTCCCTGTCGTCATCCTCCACCGTGCCCTCCTCCTGTGAGCAGATCAGACAAGCAGAGACTCCTTTAGACCCTCAGACAGAAACGTTAAGTGCCATGGATGTGTCAGAGTTTCTGTCCCTCCAGAGCCTGGACACCCCGTCCAATCTGATTCCCATTGAAGCACTGCTGCAGGGGGAGGAGGAGATGGGCTTGGCCAGTGGCTTCTCCAAGTGAAGGGCCCACGTGTGCACACCTCCTGGACAGGAGGCAAGCAGGAGGCAGTGGGTGTGATTCCTGCCATCATGGGTCAGAAATTTGAAGGATGAAGAAATCTACTGTTTGAAATCCTCACTTTTCAGATGTATTTTCTTTATTCACATCCCAGGAGCATCCATTTTAAGGAACTAATCTTTGGAAAAAAAAAAACAAAAAACAACAAAAAAAAAGCTAAGTTATAAATGAACTGTTTGGCTGCACTGTATGTCACTTTTGCTTGTCGTCATGTGAACTTGGAAATTAAGGTTACTCGTATGCATAAAAATTCTAAATGAAAGGATGTGGTTTTTCCATCAATCTGGTACTGCCCATCACTTGCACTGGGGTCTTTGTGGATTGGGCAGGAGAGTTCGGCGTGTTGGGTGTTGCTCCTCCCTGTGTATCTTTTGATTCTGAGGCTGACTTTTGCTCGGAAGGCCAGACCTGCGCTCCATCAAAGAGGGCAGTGGCAAAGGCCAGTGAGACAACTGTGAGTTGGACAGGGTTCGGTGAGATGGCCTTGTTCGCGCTTGGTGTCGGTGGAGCTTAGGGTGGATAACGCAGGGGTCATCCTGCAGCCCTCTTCAGCATAAATGGGCAGCTGAAGGCCTGGCCCACAGGCTGCTGGCATGGCCTGGTTCTGCAGAGGCCCTAGGCAAGTTGTTGACTGCTGTCTGTCCATGACGTGTGCACAGAGCAGGCTCTAGCAATACGATCACAGTCTTTACCTTCCTGGTTCTTTCTGTCTCTCAGTTGCCAGGGCTTGCAGATTGCAGTGAATTTTCCTTGGGGAACTTCCCTGTTTTTGTCCTAGGGCGAACATGTGGTTTATGGCCAGTTGCTGGTTGGTGGTCTGCCTTCCTTTTAATGGTATTTGCTTCCTCAGAGCAGAAGGGCTACATTTTGCTTATCAGGAGAAGGTGCAGATTTAAGGCAGTTGGTGTGAGGCGGCATGTAATCGGCAGGCCAGGTGTCCTGGTTCGAGGTTCTAGCCAGGCTTTTGGTTGCCCCCTCCCATCTCTGCCCCTCATCCCTCTGGATTTTGCATACAGCCTAGTACAGTGCAAATGAGGATGTGACTTGCTCAGCTTAGTCATGTGATTTCTAAACAAAAAGAAAAAACATAAAACGATGATCTTTTACTCAGGGTAAAACAAAACAAAAAATTCCCCTTCCACCAAAAAGCCTGAAATGTTGCAATAAGTTATCTCATTTGGAATGTTTCATTAAGTTGTGTTATAGGAAAAAAAAATTGTGTGCGTGTGTGTGCGTGTGTATAGAATTATATCCATCTGTCTGCCTTTGGCTCCAAGTCATTGCCTCTTAAAATAAAACATAAAATACAATCCACACTAGAATGGAAGGTTTCTCTCAACTGGCTATATTAATATAGTCATGAGCGCTCACCAAATTCACCAAGCTCAGAAGCTAGGCATGGCCTGAGGTGTGGAATAGGCCTATGCCTCCAAAGAGCCTTTGCCTGCCTTGTGTGAGTAGCAGTGTTCCACAAACAGGGCTGTTCTTCCGAGTCAACAGTGTCAGGCAGAAGGCAGCTGTAACTTTGCCTTGCATTTCCACTCCCTAATGTAAGAAAATCTTCATTGGTCACTCTCCTGTTCTCTGAGCCATTGCTCAGGGACAGCCAACACAGGATGCAGAGCAGATAATTTACCTTGCAGCCAGAGGCCCTGCCTTCATCCAGGATGTTCAGGGACAGACTTGGACCAGAGGGCAGTGGTGGTGAATGTTGTTACTGCCGTGAGGAGAAATGGGCTTAACTATAACCAGCTGACTTCTCATTCCAGGAGTCTAGCCAGGAGAATTGATTACTTTTTGACCTTCTGCAATCTCCCCAAAAGGCTGGTGGGTTCTAGGGACCATGGAAGTTGCAAGAAGGCAGGAGAAGTTGCAAAGGCAGGAGGAATCTTCTGTTACCACAGTGGGTTAGTCCTCCTGGAAAACCAACTGCTGAGCCCAAGTTATCCTTGGCCGCTTCTGGGCCTTGCAACCATAAGAAGCTTTGAGATCGGGCCCTTGCTATTTACGACTTCTAAGAGAGTAGTGGATGGGACCCCAAAGTTAGCCTGTATCAGAGGGCAGTAATGACTGTCCCACTTGTCCATCCTATGTTTAGCTGAGATTTGGGCTCCCTGGGAGCTGAGGTGGGAATAGGAGCCCAGGGAAAGACATTTGAGGTGTCCATGGTTTAAATATTATTTCTTCCTGGCTAGCCAGGGCTGTGCTTATGTTGGGCCCTGCCCAGGTCAGTGGCCTTTCCACTCTCCAAAGACTGGGGGTGATGAAGAAGCATCTTAAACAGTGTTTAGCTTGACAGATTTTTCCAGCTGAAGAAGTTTAAGTATCTGCCTTTTGAGAGTGACTCTAGATTACAAGAGAGACTATCAGATCTTAATCAGCTTTTGAAAAATCAGGAATGTGCTTGAAATGCCAGTGAGTGGTTGTGAAGAGATTTATTCCCCAGGGTAGGCAGTGTTTCCCTCCTCTCTTGGTGCTTCCCGCCCCCCCCATCCTTCCATAAGCTTGGCCTCTAGTGCCAAGGACCTTGGAGAAGAGAGGGCCCCTGGCTAAACTGGAGCCAGAAAGAACCTTCATGGAGAGTGGTTTTCCAAACCTGGGAGTGAACCTAGGGTGAGTTTAGTGGGGGTCTGCAGAAGTCTAGCAGATAAAATCAAGCCTTTTCTTCTTCCCATGGTAAACTTAACCATTTTCACCTTGTAGATTTATACTTTGAGCTCCCACTAGCCTCTCCAGGTAGACTGCCCCTTTATAGGGTGCTCAGTACCAGGGATTGGTGTTCATGGGTTTAGGAGGTGGTAAGGAAACTCTGGCTGGCACCACCAAACTGCCTTAGTGAATTTGGCCCTTCCCAGGCAGGTAGGTGGGGCGGGGAGGGGGGCCACTGAGGGAAGGTGGCCCAGTCTTTCCTGGCAGGGTCTGGCCACTCTTGTGGGGGCACCACTAGTTTGGTGACAGAAGTGGTGTCATTTATTGAATTCCACCTTCTTTTAGAAGGAGATCATGGTACAAAGCCCAGGAGGGGCCTTAAGATGTGAAGACTTCTCTGGGTAGAAGGCAAGGGGCATCTCTTTCACCTCTGGGAAAGACGGTAGATTGGAGAGTTTTATTTTCAGGGTCAAGGCTGTGGACCGATGGGGATAATGGAAGGTGGGTGAGTTTTCCTGAGAGACTCTGTATAATGCTGAATGTGTCCAGAGGGACAAGTTTGCAGAACCTCATATTGGTATATTAAAGAAATAATAAAATAAAAAAGCACTTTAGGTTATTTTATCTTTAACCCAATTGCTGCAATTTCTTTTGTGTATATATATATATACATATATATACTTTCCACAAAGTTTTATTTTTTGCTCAGAATAAAAAGTTAAATTGAGGTGTGAAAAGAAAATCACTTACCTTGGTGCAATATGTGTAGCTTGACAGTCGTTGTCCCATGTGGCCCTGGCCTGGCCGCGTTTTTCCACTTGAACAGCCCTGTGCTATGAGGTTGTTCATAGGGAAACACTATTATGCATTCTCCGCAACTGCTCAATCTATGCAAGCCTTCCCTGTGTGCCCCGGGGCGCCCCTCAGGCTCTCTGAAGATCTGCTGTGGGTCCTGTTTTCCTCTGCTGACTGTTGAGGCCCGTTTTCCTCACCTCTTGATCGCTTGCCATCTTTCCCCTCTTCACCATTGCAAAGTGATGCCTGAAAGGAAGGAACAGGTTGTTCCTAGGTAGAAACCTGGCACCTTCTAGACTTTTATATTTATAATCATGTCCATTGTCCTTAATCTTAAAGACTTCTCCAGAGTCACTGAAACCATTGATTTGTGGAACTGCAACAATATTGCTCAAGAGTTTACAATTTTCCTACACCACCAATCAGAAATATGTTTGGGGAGGTGTCGGTGGTAGTAGGGAGGCAACATGAGCCATTTCCATACTGCTCCCTGTGCTACCTGTGTTGCTTCCTTAAGCAAAAAGGTCTCCAGCCTTCATTAAATCCAGTAAATAAAGCTTTTACTAATCTGTTTTATCAACTTTCTTCCTTCTCCACCTTCATCCGTTTTATCTTCAATTCTCAGGCTATAGAATAGAGAAGTTTTAAAATATACTTCAGCCAAAGCAGAAAGATTTTCATAGATCCAATATGCAGATTGTTCTGCTGTGACATAGATTAGAAATTGTCCACTCCTTAATATTGGCACGGGGTGTGGGGACAGTGCGCAACAAAACTGAGTTATGCATATTTCTGATTGGTCAGTCATTTTAGCCTGTTTCCTCTTGCATACTTTTGGGGGAGAGGAAAAGGGTCCTGTATTTCTTCTCATGCTCTTAGGGAAAGCTGATGACCAGAGTCTGGGCATTTCTCACTGTTACTCCTGTTCAAGAGAGGGCTTCTCAGTCTGCACTGAAAAATGCAAATTAAACTGGATCTTTATGTCAATGTGTACATAGTACAAGCTTTTTTACTGGAAGTGAGGTTCAAAACCATACACTGCCCTTTTGGTGGTGTGCCTGCTGGGCCAAAATTGGGCGATAATGTAGTGTCACTTTCTCAGCTCAATGCAGTTTCTACTTTTTCTTATGGGAAAATTTTTCATAAAACCTTTTTGCACCAAAACCCAGGGATGTTTTTTGCAATATCCTTGTTATTGTTGTAGTGATGCCAAGTCAGAGGCTTCTCTTGCCCTTTTCCTCCTGTGTTCTTAGGCCTCCCAAGGGCTGTTCGACTCAACAGTCTACATCCTTTGTTGTGTTTTGAAGAATGTGGGAGTGGGGGTCAGAGTTCAAGGTGGCCATTCCCTTATCCTGTGAATTCCTCCTAGTCCCTGTTGGGGGAAGGTGGCTGGAAACAGATTTTTGCTAAATCGCTGGCTCAGATCCTCAAGCCAGGAAAGGCAAGAGCCCATGAGAGCCTTTTTTTTTGACACACACTAATCATTGGCCGGGGTCTTGGTGACAATTTTTTAAATCCTAAATAGTTTTATTTGGATTATGTAAAAGTCTATCAAGTTTATTTAAGTGTGAAACATGGGAACAATGGATTTCCACTGAGCGATATGAAAACGTTACAGGTTCAGTACTTCCAAAGGAAGAAACCTCCAAACCCAAAAAAGAATAAATATGAATTTGTATTTTTGAAGAATGTGAAATAATGGTGTTTGCTTAATTGCTCATTTTGTATAAACTTAATATTGTACTTTAAAATACCTGCTATGAAGTGAAAATTTAACTTTTTGGAATTGAAAAAGCAATATTAAATACTAATGAAATCCTAATTAAATGCTTATTTAAATCTGGTAGTATCTGTGGCATTTCTTCCCGACCCTGCCCATGGTTGACATTTTTCCACCACTCCCCCCTGCCCAGCCATCAGAGTCTTAGAGAAGGGACAGAAAGGAAAGGCCGGTCACCAGGAGAGTCTGCAGGTTTCCTTTTAATCAAGGCTCTGCTGAAGGTGTTTTGTGGGGCTAAGAGCCCCCAAAGCATGAAATGGTCATGTAACACCACCTAGATCCCCCATAGCAGGCCAGACCACTCTGGCTAGCACTGCTAGTCCGCCCAAATCCGGGTAATCAGACTGGGTATTCGTTGGCTACATTTCAAAGCCCAGCACTGCTTTCAGCCAGGATGAAGTGGGAGTGAACCCAGCTGCTAGCAGAGCTGCCACCCCAGGCTGAGAGCCAAGTACCAGCCACTGCCAGTGAAGACTGGCCCCTTTATTGAAGGGAGTTGTTCAGAGTCCAGCCACCAGCCCTGGGGAGGGGAGAGAAGTCAGGACATCCGGTACGGGGATGGTCAGGCCTCCGCAGCTCCATCACCAGCATCCTTTGGAAAGCCACCTCTGGTGGAGACAGCTGGCTGGGGGGGCGCTCCCGGTTTGGCTGAGACGTTCTAGTTGGAACAGAAAGGAAAAAAGTGAGGCTGGGAGGAAAGGCCTTGGATTGGGCCCACAAGGATATGGCCACTTGGCATTTGGATAGTATTAACTTTTCCAAAACCTCTCGCCAGATCAAAAGAGGTTGGGGTAAAGCGGTGGGGACACTCTTCAGGGGAAGCTAGGGCTTGGCCAGTCTACCCAGTGGGCAGATCCCACCCCCCCAGGCCCAGCCCGGGGTGGGCACTGACCCCGCCACCAGCCGGCTCCGGGCGCCGGCGGCCCAGCTGCCGCAGCATCTCCTCGCAGGCGGCGATGGTGTCCAGGAGCTGCCGCTGCCTCTGTTCCACCGCGTCCAGCAACTGCTGGGCGCGCTCATCCCGGGGTGGCTGCGGGGGTGGCCTCCCGCCGAGCCCCAGCCCCGCCTTCCCGCGGTCCACGCCGGCAGCCTCCCTGCCCGGGAGAGAGCGAGAGACAGACGGTCAGGGCCGGCGCTTGCGCGGGGTCCGAGCCCCTTCCCCCCGCCCCACGGGCCCCCTCTCACCCCCGTGACCAGTCTGAGCCTGGGCCCCATTCCATCTCCGCCTGCGCGGCCCGACCACCGCCCCCCTTTCGGCCGCCCCCCCTCCCCAGCGCTGCGCTAGGGCGCCGCAAAGCTGCACCCCGCCCCGTCCCCACCGGTCTCCTTCAAGCCTCCTGGGGGTCGTGGTCCCTTTAAGCTGCCCGGCGCGGAGGTGGGGCCGAGCCTCCAGGACCGGAAGCTGTCCGGGAACGTCACTTCCTCCCGGAAGCGGGCCTGGGCGGATGTCTCCAGCGCTGTGGGGCAGGGGTATGAGGGCCGCGGTGGTTGCCAGCGTGGGATTGAGCGAGGGGCCCGTGGATTCCCGGAGCGGCCGCCTCCTCCGCCCGCCAAGCCCCGCTCCGGCGGCGCCGGGGGCCCGGCTGTTGCGGCTCCCAGGCAGCGGGGCCGGACAGGCCGCAAGCCCCGAGCGCGCCGGCTGGACCGAGGCGCTGCGGGCCGCCGTGGCCGAGCTGCGCGCCGGCGCCGCGTGTTGGCCGTCCCCACCGATACGCTGTACGGCCTGGCCTGCTCGGCGAGTTGCTCGACGGCGCTGCGCGATGTGTACCGCCTCAAGGGCCGCAGCGAGGCCAAGCCGCTGGCCGTATGCCTGGGCCGCGTGGTCGACGTCTACAGGTGAGGCCGCCCCGACCCGGCCCTGCTAGGGGCGGCACCGCGGGAGGGGTTTCCGGTGACAGGCTTGGGAGACTGAGGCGCAGAGAGCGGGAGGGGCTTGTCCAGGTTCACCAGGGAATCCGGAACTGGAAATGTGTACCGAGCGCTTAATGTGTGCCCGGCCCTGAACGACATGCTGGGACGCAGCGATGCACGAGGCAGGCAGGGGCCCTGTCCTCTTGGCGCTTTTGTGCTAATCGGGGCAGAAGAAAAAAAGGAAACGAACACAGTAGCTTAATACAGTAGCGAATGTCCTGAAGAAGACAAAACACTGAGTTCGATACTGCTATCACAGTATCACAGCAGTGCAGCTATTGTAGTCTGAGACGGACCCTTTTCCTGGGTCTGCCTGGAGTCGGAGAAAGGACCACCGGTGGCCCTTCAGTTTGAGTGGATTTGCTCTCCTTTGTTTCCCAGGTACTGCCGTGTGAGAGTACCCGAGGAGCTCCTGAAAGACCTGTTGCCAGGACCAGTGACCCTGGTGATGGAACGCTCAGAGGCTCTTAACAAGGATCTGAATCCCTTTACCCCTGTGAGTCAAATTTTCTCTTGTTCCTGAGCGTAAAGTCGACTTTTGGTGTTGCTTCACTGCAAGAGGTCCTACCAATGCCATTTGCTATTGGTGATCGTTCTTCTCTTCCTCTGGGAGAGTAAGAGGGAGAGAAAGCAGTCTAAGTGGTTCCTGTTTAAATATTGAAAAAAAATACATTTTTTCTTTTGCATCCCCAGACTCCTGGCCACTTGGCTTTCACTAGAACCCAGACCAGACCCATCCCCTAGCCCCTCCAACCTTTCTGATGATCGATCCCCTTTCCCCATAGCTTGTAGGCATCCGGATTCCTGACCATGCCTTTATGCAAGACTTGGCCCAGATGTTTGGGGGACCTCTTGCTCTCACTAGTGCCAACCTCAGCTCCCAGGCCAGTTCTCTGAATGTCGAGGTGAGTTACCCAGTCCTTCCCCCAGAAACATCACCAGCCCAAATATTATTTCCCTTAACCCAGTTGGGTTGCTGGTGCACTGTAATTGCCCCGCAGGACAGTCGCCCTTTGGGGTCAACAGTGGGAAGGCTGCCCAGCAGGCAGGGAGTTGGGGAGGGGGGATCTAAATTAAAGAATCTCAGATTTTTATCTCAAGTTTAAGAGGCCAACGGAAGAATTGGTGTTTTCTTTCTACTATCTTTACTAACAGGAAAGATTATGGTAAGCAAAATTATTGTTCTGTGTTTTTGGAGTTAGCAGTTTTTGGAGACTGCAGAGTTAGGTTATAAGTCTTTACAACAGTGCTGTAAAGAAAAATGAAGTTAAGGCTCCAAAAATTAAATCACTTGGTCCAAGTCACAAAGCCATTAAGTGACTGACCCAGATTTTAACCCAGTGTTTGATTCCTGACCCTGTTCTCTTACCTCTGCCACAAGCCAGGTCATAGAAAGGATCATTCTAATCTTATCTTGGCTACATAGCCAAGGATCATTCTAATTCTATGTTGGCTACATAGGTTAGAATGAATGAAGACACACAGAAATTTCACTTACTTCTTACTAAATGTAGAGTGTATAGTAATAAGGCGATGGGGTTTTCCATGCCCAGACCTAGAGAGTGGGTCAGGGGCCGTGGAAGGTGAGAGCTCACCATCCCTTCTCATTCTCAGAGTACAGGTTTTACTGGATCCTGGTGGTACCCGAGAAGCAAGGATGGGGGTGCAGCAGGGAGAGGCTGAGGTTTTTAACTTGTCAGCAATCATTAATCTGTCCAGCACAGTAACTGGTATTTATGATCCCCCATTCCAGATTCCCAGGCCTAACTGCCACTGCAGTGTCTTCACTGGGGGGTAGGGGAAGCTCTAGCTTAGCTGACAATTCAACCCACAGTTCTAGTGGGAATATCCTTCCCATAGCCCGAGGCCTGAGAACTGGTGGCATGCACTTGCAGAGTCTACGCTGTTTTCCTTTCCCTACCCTGATCCACAGTTGCAGTGAGATCCAGGATCACAGTGCAGAACTGGAAGAACCCTTAGTGATCATCTAGTCTAGTCTCCTTGTTTTATAGGCCTGGATAAAGTAACTTGCATGCAGTCACACAGAGATGTGGTGGAAAGTCCAGGGTTAGAGCCCCTGTCTCTGGACTTCTACCCAGAACTTATTTCCTCTGGGCACAGCGAGATTTTCTTTTTTTTTTTTTTTTTTTCAGAGACAGAGTCTCACTCTGTCACCTATGCTGGAGTGCACTAGTGCAGTCATAGCTCACTGCAGCCTCAAACTCCTGGGCTCAAGGGATCCGCCTCCCAAAGTGCTGAGATTATAGGTTTTGAGCCACCATGCCTAGCCATGGCAAGATTTTCTTTAAGCTCTAGGCATGTGTTAGTCCTTGGCACAGCTGACTTTAAATGAGGTTCCTCCTTCCTCTGCTTAGAGGAAGGTGCCTCCTGTTTTAAAACTATGAGGCCTTTGACAGATTTATGAACCCTGTGTGTGGTATGACATCATTGTAGATGCCAGGGATGGTGTCCATGCTTTTTGTTCCTTTCTTCCTAGGAGTTCCAAGACCTGTGGCCTCATTTGTCCTTGGTCATTGATGGGGGACCAATTGGGGATGGCCAGAGCCCTGAGTGTCGTCTTGGCTCAACTGTGGTTGATTTATCTGTACCTGGAAAGTTTGGCATCATTCGTCCAGGCTGGTAAGTCTCTTTCCTGTGGCATGGGGATAGGACTTGTGGGAGGTTGGAAAGATGTAAAAAAAAATACTTTGACAAAATGAAGGTTGTCACTCCTATTTTGCCTTGAGTGGGTACAGGCAGATACTGAAAAGTGTTAGATGCAGTAGGGCTAAGTTTGCTAGTGTTTGCTGGTGTTTTTAGGATTCAGAAGGAGTCATCAAGAGTTCGATGAACAGAGCATAGTAAGACCAGTGAGTTTAGGTCCCTGTTCACCTGACTCTGATGGGCTCTGGGCTTTGGAAAGTCAAACTGTTAACTGTCCTCTATTTCTTCCTCAGTGCCCTGGAAAGTACTACGGCCATCCTCCAACAGAAATATGGGCTGCTTCCCTCACATGGATCCTGCTTGTGAAACTCGGGAGGAGGGAAGGCCCAAGGACCGGCGCTGGATACTATGTGTCTGTCCACTGGTGGTTGGCGAGGCCTCATTTGCAGAGGCCGCTGGAGCTACATCACTAGCCTGACCGGTTAGGCCATGCATCTTTCCGAACACTGTAGACCAAGCCCCAGAAGCTGCTGGGGGAAAGGTTGTATTTATTATTTATAATTGAATATGTCAGCCAAAAGCTGAATGGAGAGGTTAAGAACATTCCTAGGTGGCCTTGTTCTGATAAGTTCCTTCTCTCCTCTTTTTTAATTGAAAAGTATTTTAAGTAACAGACTTGGAATCTTGTAAGAGCCTCCTCTTTGTTGGGTGGTGGCATTTAAGGTTCAAACCAGCTAGAAGTGCCACTGCTGTTTAAAAGTCTCAGGTAACCGAAGGCATGGATTGGGCTCCTGAAGTTGGAACCAGGTTAGGATTAAGAGTGTGGAGCCACAGGCCAAAGGCTTTTTCTGAACCAGCAGAGCTGGTGGTGCAGTGTGTTGTCATTGCCTGGCGGGGAAAGCCTAAGTTACAATTAATTATATACTTGTAATACCTTTATTTAAATCCAGTTTAGCAGCTTTTTGTCTTTATTCCTATGTGTACCGAGTGTTAAATGTAATTGTTGGGCATCTGAACTTTGTTTTTCTTTAATATAAAAAATGCTGCTATTAAACATTTGTAAATGGTTTATTTTTCTTCTTTTGAATTATTTCCTTAGAGTAGGCGTATTAGGTCAAAGTATACGAACGTGTTTATGGCTCTTGATAGAGATTAGCCTTCAAAAGAACTGAATTCAAGTCACGCTGCCATCAGCAATGTGTGAGAATGGCTGTCCCTGCGCCCTGGTCTTGACATACTTTTTAGTATTTTTCAAAATTGTATATTTGTGAAATGAAGCTTCAGTGTTGCTACCTTCTGTAAATGACTGCAGGTCAGCGTCCAGCCCTGCCTGCCCTGGTTTCCCCAATTAAGCCAGGTGGCCAGGCCTGCTCATCTATCTAGTGGGGTTTAAGATCAGTTACCTCACTGGGGCTGCATGTCCTTGCGGTGACCATTGGGGTCTACTCCCCCACTCCCCTCTTGTACCCCAGTTCCCAGAATTCCAATTCTTGAGCCCATAATCTTCTTAGTACAGTGGTTTCCAGTGCACATATTTTCAAGAATATCCTAAGAATCTTGCCAAGAAGGTGTTCCAGGGGCCTGCTTTCATGAGGGCCCCTGTCATTAGCATATTAGTTAATTTGTAAATAAACTACCAGTTTGTTAACTATTTCCTCTAAAAATCTCCTTTAAACTAGAAATTTCTTAAGCAAATCCACTCTTCATCGTGCTAAAACTATAGCTAGCCCAGCCCATACGTCAGTGAGTCACAGAATCTGACTGAAGTCAGATTTGTGAGGTCTTGAAGAGAGCAAAAGGAATGCTTACTTGAGAATACCACTTCATATTTAATAAATACAAATCACAGTAGCACTGAAAATGGCTCTAGAGAGTGGGTCTCATTCAGTTCAAGCAGCTAAAGGGAGGGGGGTGTCCTCCTAGTCCTCTCCCTGGAGCCAAGTCTGGGAAAAGTGAGCTCTGGAGTGCAGAGGTATTTTTTTTTTTAGAGGAAATGGAACCGAATTCCTAGCACTAGGTAAAACTGCAAAAAGAAAAACACAACTGTGCCCAGGCACCAGCTACAAGGCCACACCAAATAAGGAAGCTGGATCCTGCAAGTGTCAGGGGGAACAGGAACCATTCCTTGGTCAAGTTTTCCGCAGCACCTAGCACATAGTAAGGTGCTCGATTAGCGAGTGTTGAACGAATGCTCAGGATTATGTCCTGATTGGGTTCAGGAATCTACTGGGAAGAGCTTAAACCTAGAAATTCCCTTTCAGAAAGTCTCAAATATGGTTCCCTAACTTAGAGAAGACAGATGATGTGGGAAGGAGGCCTGAAGAGAGGGCACAGGCTGGCAGAAGGGAGTGCATGCTGGCCCAGACCCTGACACCCTTCCAAAAACAGTGACTGGGGGACTCCACTACACAACACCAACCTGCCACAGAGTTCAAAGCTAGAAGGGATTATGTGAAAGTGTTCTGAAGATGTGGAGCTGCCCTAGGCTAAGTCCAGTCGCCTGCCAGCCTCCACTGTTCCCTCTCTGGAACACCGCCTAGCTTCCCGTCACTGCAGAGCACCCCAGCACCACTTGCCTGAGGAACAGGCTCAACGGCCCACCCATAAGCACCCAGCTGCTGACTTGGGAGTAAGTGAGTGCCTGCAACCTCAGCTGAGCCCCATATGGTGACAGCTCCCAGCAAGGCTGGGACATTAGCCCCTCATTGCCCCGTTTGCAGGCCCCTCACATCAGCCACTGCTCCTTCTCTTTGATGAAGTGCTCCGCCCAGCGGCGGGTCAGCTCCAGGTACAGGCTGGGCTGATGAGGCAAGTAGTCCAAGTACAGGCGAGTTGGTGTCTTCTTGGGAATGGCCTTCTCAATCTGGGTGCCCTCATGCCACTCATTGAAGGAGGTGATGGAGACGATCTCAGGCCTTACTGTCAGGGCTGCCTGCAGGGCTGTCTCATAGTACTTGCCGTTGACCCTGTTCCGAGTGTTGTGGTTGTTCCAGGGCCGGATGCTGGTGTCTATGTAGCCAGGCCCCACACTGGGAATGAACATGAGGTTGTTGGCATCGCAAAAGTTCTTCACAGCTTTCCAGTTCTGATGGGAGGAGCCAAAGGAGAAGCCATTGGAGGCAAAGTAGGTGTACATGCCATCAAACCCTGCAGCCAGGATGTCGTGGGTGTGGCCCTCCTCCACCAGCAGCGCTATGAAGACCCCATCGTAGGGGGTATTGCGGACTGAGTGGAGTCCGTTCGGTGTCAGGAGGTGGGCCCAGGCCTCAGGGGACGTCAGGTATGAGTCGTAGATATAAAAGAGCGGGAGGCTCTTGCCCATGCTGTTCTTGTAGTGGTAAAATGCACCATGGGAGCCATACCTGAGGGGCAGGAGAGAGAAGAGCCTGAGTTAGATGGGTGAGACCAGCACAGCTGTAGGACCAGCTGCAGATGAGATATTTTTTGATACCACAGCACAGTTTGGGACCCGGTCAATCTCCATGGTTGGACTCATCACGCCTCTCAGCAAAAACCTGGCTCCTCTCCCTCCTCCCTCCCAGCCTTGCCATTCCTAAGCCTCACTTCCCTACCCTGAGCCGAGCCACCGCCATCTTTCATCTGGACTGTGGCAACAGCCACTTAACTGATCTCCAGGCTCCCATTCTTGCCTCCCTGTGATCCATTCATTGCCCCACCTACTTGACCTGGCCCTGCCTACCTCCATTCCTGCTGTTACCCCATCTATTCCTCCCCACCTGGCCTTTCTGTTCTGCTGTCATGCCAAGCTTGTCCCGTCTTACGGCCTTTCCATCTGCCAGCCCTCTGCCTGGAAATTTTCTCTCTACTTCCAGATCTTTGCAGAGCTGACTCTTTACTCAGGTGTTATAGCTCACACGTTGTCTCCTCAGAGAGACTCACTTGACCGCCCATTGCAAAGTAGCTCCTTAGCATGCTCTGGCACAAAACTCGGCTTTATTCGTTATTATTTTTTCATAGTATGGATCACTATTTGATTTTCCCTTTTTAATTACTGCCTGCCCCACAGCACCCCCAACACACACTAGAATGTAAATGTTACAAAATCAGAACTTTTGCTGGGCCTACCCACTGCTGTGTAACTGGGCGTAGGACAGTGCCTGGACACATGTAGGCACGCAATGCTTTTTGAATGGATAAATGACGTGCAAGCACCGCACAAGCCACTTCCATATATATTAACTCATGTAACTCTTGTGAGACTCAAAGGTGAAGACGCCACAGAGCTGGAATTAGAACCCAGGTTGCCTGACTCTAAGTCCAGCTTCTACCATAAAACAGCTGCTGGGAACACAGGCGTCCTGCCCTGTGTCTCTTCCCCTCCACCCCCATCTTGTTCCCCACCAAAATCCCAGCCCCCAGAGCAGCCTTACGTGTCGATGATGTACTTGATGTTGTCATGTACAGTGGTGTCATCCCGGCCCTTGTAGGGTTGGATGTGGAAGGCCACCTGTCACAAACAAAGGAGTAATAATAAGTCAGGTGAGTATCTGTCCAGGGGCCACAATGTGTAAGGCTAATGCTCCAACCACGGCCTGAGCAGAGGCTGAGTTCAGGAGAGGGCCTGGTGATAGTGGGCACAGTAGAGATAAGGACAGCTACTGCCCTTCAAGGCCAAAAAAGAGGGATGAGAAGTTTGCCCCGCTCCCACAGCAGGGCATGTGTGGGCTGTTGCAGGGTGGCTAACAGGTTTCAAACTATGTGCCAGCTCCAAGTGATTGGCGCAGGGAGGGGGAAGGGGAAGGGGGCTTCTCTCTGTAGTTTTCCTTCCTTCACCACAGAAGTGGGAAATGACTGACTTGATCGGTACATTTGGGGAAATTAACGACCGGCTTAGTTCAGCTCCGCCCTTCCTCCTGCAGGTGAGCCCGCCTGACGGGAGCACGTGTTTCCCGCTACTCCTGGAGATGCTGCCTCCCACCAGGGAGTTGAGTTAACAGTTCGGTCTGCAGGTCCACTTGGCTCTTGCCTACTCGTTATCCAGGGTTTCCAACCTAACCTCTATTCTTATTTAATAAAAGTGACATTTCTTTAGTTTCCCATTTGTCCTGTATTTAGTTTTCTCAGAATTCAGGAAAATAAGTATGACATAGGCACTATTTATGTTGAACCCTCCCCAACACCACACTTGCTACATACTTGCCAGGAACTTCTACAGAGGCACTAACCCTGTGAGCAGGGCAGAGGAAATCTCCAGAGTGGGGCGGAGAGCACGTGACCTCTTCTTGGACACTCACCTGGATGTCGAACTGATGGGCGGTGTCCAGAATGGCAGGCACCAGGTCATCTGCGGGTTCCCCGTTGTCATCAGCCATGCCGGGTGGGTACCAGGACAGGACCAGGACGCCTGAGACACAACACAGAGGCCTCTTCAGAGATAGGCAGTATCCCCCTCAGCAGAGGTTTTCTTCTCACAAACATATCCCTCCAATTGCAAAACGGTTTCTAAAAGCCTTGAGCAAGGCTCCTGCCAGGTTCACGTCCGGCAGATTGGATCCCAGAGCCTGCGCCCTGGAGCTGTCCACGCCAGCGGTGCTGAAGCGCAGCGGCTGGGGAACCAGGCCGGGCAGAAGCCAGGCTTTCCAGTGCATCAGCAAGTAGCAGAACAAAGGGACGGGTGGACAACGCCACATCCACCTGGAAGCCACAGTTCTACCTCTGAAGAAGAGGAGCACCTCTGATGTCCCTCATGGAGAAGAACCCTAAGGAGAGGTCATCTCAGTGCTTCTCTGGGAAATAACATTCGTATGGACTGTCTGCCTTCTCGACTGTAAAATCCTGGAGGGTAACCCCTGTCTTATTTATCCTGTCTTTGTGTACTTCCCACTCCTGTCTCTGTCATTCCATCCTCCCCCCCACGAACCATCTCCAGGTAAATTACCATGTACTGTAAAATTCAGCAAAATTCAGTGACAACATCTGACGCAAGTGAGCCTCCCCTCCCCAGCCAACAAAGGAGGCTCCCAGAGACCTCTCTTCTACCTGGGAACTTGATAAAAAGCTCCTAACCCCACCCCCAACCCCCTGCAAACAGCAGGGTCCATCATGCAACAGGGACAAACTTTCCTCTCTGAAGCCAGTAAAAGCAGGAAGAGCTGCTGTTTCCTCCTGTGCCTGATGTGAGAGCAGAGGCCACCCCGAGCTCCAGAGGAGCCAGGATACCCAGGCCTCACTTTCCATCTCCCAGCCTAGAGCCCAGCACGTTTGAAGACTCTGCTTCCCTTTCCTGGCGCAAACTCCCAGCAGCTCCGCCCTATGAAGGGCCCTGGAATTGTTAGGGGTCAGCAGGGCCCAGGTTAGGAGGCTGAACAGTAGAAGCAGAAGGCGGTGCCAGGTGGTGGGCTCAGGAAGAGAGTGGGATAGAAAGGCTAAGAAGCCAGGCGGGCTGGCGAGTGGGACCAAAGGCCCGGTGACAGGACCAGCGGGAGTCGGGGTGTGGGAACGAAGAAGGACGGGGCTAGGGGACAGGGCCACCCGGGGGGGGGGAACTCACCGATGGCGGCCTCCTTGAGCTGGGTCATGTGCTCCCGCAGCACGTCGGGGTCCCGGGAGCTGTAGGGCCCCAGCTCCGGGTAGAAACTGGAGCCCAAGTCGTCTGGAGGGCTGTGGCGGCCGCGGGGGTAGCTGGCCGAGATCTTGGGGTCCCAGTGCGGCACCATGACGTGGTCCCAGTGAATGTAGTGGCCCTCGCGCCGCGGGCTCCCGTACCATGAGTAGTAGAAGGCGTGCAGGTCCGAGTAGACGCGTAGACTCTGCCCGGGGGCGGGCTCGGCCTCCGCGGGGGCCGGCCCAGGGGAGCTGCCAGGGTCCGCCGTGCGGGGCGGCGGCGGCGGCGGGGGTGGCGTGCCTTGGAGGGCGGGCACGTGCCGGGCGCCTGCGGTGCGCGGGGGGAGGAAGGCGGGACTAGGCGTCGG